TTTAAAATAGCTCAGAGTTCACTTCTGGCTGCACACGGGACGCAAACCAAAGGAGTCAAAGTCCTGTTTGATTGTGTGATAGATTTATCCTTTTTTTTTACCTTTTTACGGGAATAAACGTGGAGAAAATCCGGTTTGAAATTGATTGACAGGCACTTTTATACAGGAACTGACAGCAGAAGTGAAGTGAAGACTCTGCAGAGTACTTCTGGTGTGTGTGTGTGTGTGTGTGTGTGTGTGTGTGTGTGTGTGTGTGTGTGTGTGTGTGTGTGTGTGTGTGTGTGTGTGTGTGTGTGTGTGTGTGTGTGTGTGTGTGTGTGTGTGTGTGTGTGTGTGTGTGTGTGTGTGTGTGTGTGTGTGTGTGTGTGTGTGTGTGTGTGTGTGTGTGTGTGTGTGTGTGTGTGTGTGTGTGTGTGTGTGTGTGTGTGTGTGTGTGTGTGTGTGACCTAGCATTACTATCCTTGTGGGAACCTAAATCTGTTTACACAGTCACGTGTGGGGACTTATGTCCCCATACGGGAGGTCCACATAAGGGGAATCATTAATTTTAGGGTGAAGACTTGGTTAGGGTTAGAGTGAGTGAGTGAGTGAGTGAGTGAGTGAGTGAGTGAGTGAGTGAGTGAGTGAGTGAGTGAGTGAGTGAGTGAGTGAGTGAGTGAGTGAGTGAGTGTGTGTGTGTGTGTGTGTGTGTGTGTGTGTGTGTGTGTGTGTGTGTGTGTATGTGCAGAGGGAGCCGAGGGACGATGTGGTTTTTCCTGCAGAGCAAAGCACTTTTAATTATTTAACCCGGAGTTTGTGGTGAGCTGCAGGCAGGAGTCAAGAGGGAGGGGAGGAACAGTGAGGGGGGGGGGGGGGGGGGGGGGGGGGATTCAAAGAGGAAATTATATTGAAAAAACATACCTAATTCAGCAAATTAAAAAATGAGTTTGAATGTTTTTTTAGTGAGTTTGAATGAGTTACATGGGCAGAACACCAAAGACGCTGCATGTCAATATGTCTGCTGAACACGGACTCCTCGCTCTCAGGAATAGATTTAAAATACTGAATTCATCCCGAGGGCAAAAATGATGTTTAGTGACTTTTTAAGAATGAAATAAAATAAAAAGATAAATAAGAAAAAAATGGAATATAAAATATATATTGGTATATATAAGTAAGTGTGCAATAAAAAGATACAATACAATTTAATTAAATATATTTAATGCATTTGATTCTAAAATTACTTATACTCATTTGCATGGCATTTGATGTTGAGGTAATCCAAAGGAAAGTTATCAGGTATATTTTGATGCTCAGATTTGGCGTTTTTGGGATAGCCAAAATCCCTCTGTAACTTTCCTCCGTCTTGTACGTCCCTTTACCCCCCACCCCCTCTTACATGCTTTACACACCCCCCCCCCCTCTTACATGCTTTACATAACAACCCCCCCCCCCCCTCTTTGTGCTTGTATGGGACTGGTGCGTTAGAAGTTAATGGAAGCCATTAAGCTTTTTAATAAGCTCAGCAAGTCCCGAAGAAGGAAGTCAAATAAAACCTCTTTTGTGAGGGCCGTGCTGACTCCCCCTCTTAATATCTCTCTTTTTTAATGTTGTATGGGGGGGGGGGCTTTGTTCTCCTCCTTCTTGTCCTCCTCTTCATCTTCAGTCTTGCTATTAATTGAGTTTCATTAATGAACATCAGGATTTCATTATCTACATGGTGTTTAAGAGGAGCGCCTAATGGTAGCTGTTGGGAGGTGTGTGTGTGTGTGTGTGTGTGTGTGTGTGTGTGTGTGTGTGTGTGTGTGTGTGTGTGTGTGTGTGTGTGTGTGGGGGGGGGGGGGGGGGGGGGGTGTACAATGCCTTTTAATGGCAAACACAAAGCTGGCTCTGTTAATAACTCTGTACTCGCTGCTCTGCATGGGCGGGAATCTCATTAGAAAAATGCTGAGGAGAAAAATAATGGGAGATTGAAAAAATAAAGTCTCAAGGTGATAGAAAGCACTGTGATTCCATTAAAACAGCATTACAGACACACACACACACACACACACACACACACACACACACACACACACACACACACACACACACACACACAGAGGAAAACTTAAGAAGATGGAGTTTAAAGTGGAAAATAAGTGGCTGCTTATTATGAGCTCTTCTGCTGAGGGGGGGGAGCAGTAATATTGGACAGAGCGGTGAGAGGGAACTAGTGCAAGGACATCTTTTAAAGTTTAAAGAGTCCTCTCCTGCTGATGTTCAGGTGTATATCAGTATGTAGTGTCTCTACTTTAAAGAGTCCTCTCCTGCTGATGTTCAGGTGTATATCAGTATGTAGTGTCTCTACTTTAAAGAGTCCTCTCCTGCTGATGTTCAGGTGTATATCAGTATGTAGTGTCTCTACTTTAAAGAGTCCTCTCCTGCTGATGTTCAGGTGTATATCAGTATGTAGTGTCTCTACTTTAAAGAGTCCTCTCCTGCTGATGTTCAGGTGTATATCAGTATGTAGTGTCTCTACTTTAAAGAGTCCTCTCCTGCTGATGTTCAGGTGTATATCAGTATGTAGTGTCTCTACTTTAAAGAGTCCTCTCCTGCTGATGTTCAGGTGTATATCAGTATGTAGTGTCTCTACTTTAAAGAGTCCTCTCCTGCTGATGTTCAGGTGTATATCAGTATGTAGTGTCTCTACTTTAAAGAGTCCTCTCCTGCTGATGTTCAGGTGTGTAGTGTCTCTACTTTAAAGAGTCCTCTCCTGCTGATGTTCAGGTGTATATCAGTATGTAGTGTCTCTACTTTAAAGAGTCCTCTCCTGCTGATGTTCAGGTGTATATCAGTATGTAGTGTCTCTACTTTAAAGAGTCCTCTCCTGCTGATGTTCAGGTGTATATCAGTATGTAGTGTCTCTACTTTAAAGAGTCCTTGTAGCCTTTACAGACCATTTACATGCACAGAAACCTATATAACACACTACAGGAGAGGGAAAATCCCAGAGGGCATAATAGGGACTCTTTAAAGTAGTAGCCTTCAGTACAGCTTACTAAGATGTACACAATCTGCTCCTTTTACAAGAAACACAGGGGACAACTTCAGAACTGTTTTCCTCTGTCCGTCTCACTCTTCCTCAGATAGTGAGACATAAACAGTGACTTGTTGTCGCTCCTCTGACTCACCCTCCGTCTCGCTCTCAGACTCTTGCCCTCAAACACAACTTCTCGCAATTATCCCCATAATAGTCATAATTTCCCTTTAGCTGCTTTCAGAGCTGAATAGGTGTAATCATGCCTCTCAGTGTGTAACTCTGACTCACCTGAGCCCGCTGGCCTTTTATACCTGCCTGAGTTTATCTGAGTGTAATCACAGTCATTTCCTGCCGCATTAAGAGGGTCACTTTGCTGTCTCCATGCATCGCCTTTTCAATTGAAAACACTTGAAAGGATCATATGCGCAAATCACACGTGATGACATGCATGGGGAACTTTATCAGTATACTTCACGGTCAAAATGATCTTTGTGAAGTTCTGAGCATGGACTGGATAAATGAGGTTATTTTGCACGAGTTGTGTGAGAGTTTCAAAAAGGATATTTTCATATAGTTTTGCTGTTAAAATTTCTATTTTTTGAACACATTTCTATATTTGGTTGAGTTTTTTTCACGAATTCTAGATCAAAAAGGACTGGTTACCAAAATATTTGTTTACATATTTACGTCCACCACTACTTCTGATAGCTCTCACATAGTTGCAAATGATCATTTTTATATCAATAACTCACCCTATGAAGTCTTGAATTCTTGAGAAAACTGTATTTTTCTCTCATGCCTCCTTGTGAACAAAGTATCCACACAATTAGGAAAAGTCTTGATGAATTGCTAACTACTTCACAGACACCTGACTTTTACTTAAAGTGGACTTATTCTGCTCATTTTCAGGTTCATGGGGTGTGAGAGAAACTCCTTCTGGCGTGCACTTGGGATTTTAGCCTCTGCAGACCATTTACATGCACTGAAAACCTATAAAACACACTAGAGGAGAGGGAACCCCCCCCCAAAGAATAATATACATAAATCTTCACTTTATCAAGACTTTCATACGTTTTTTGCACCCTTAATTCACCATGGAGGAGGTTAGTTGTCTTTACCAATTCAAAGTGAAGTGATTGTTAAAGAATGCTGGCTGATAAAATGACCTTTCCAAAATTAAAATCAGTGATGTTTTTGGTGTCTTTTAGGCAGCATTTAACCCTGTCGTTACGCGGTCTAAATGTCAGAGCAGCGTTGTTCCTCTCCATCAGAGTGTCGTCGCCGTTTCATCTGCTCCACTCGTTACAATCAGAATCAGAAACAGGTCGACACGTATGAGGAATTTAACTTGGTGTCGTGGTGCATACATCAAAATAAAACAATTAAAATATTTGCAGTAATAAAAAAAACAAGATATTGTGTCCATTGTGTGCACCTGGCTGTTTGCTGCTCTGCTTCTCTTCCTGAGTGGAACCACGATGCTGCTAATGAGGCAGGAGGGAGGGTGTCTGGAGAGAGATATGAGCATGAATCATGAAAGGGGAACACACACTCCTCTGGTAGGAACAGTGGAGAGGTCATTGCACACTTGTGTGTTTTCATGCCCAATCAAACCCAGCAGCAGCAGCTCGGTGTGTGACTGACTGGGAGGGGTGTGTGTGTGTGTGTGTGTGTGTGGGGATGAGAGGAAGGAGATGGTTTTGGCTGTGATCAGGCATTACCTGCATCTCTCTCAGCAGCTGAGGCCTGTCACAGCTGCTGAAACCCTGCTGTGTTCAACCACACGTGAACACACACACACACACACTTTTTAACATGTCCACACACACACACACACACACACTGATGCCCTGTCTCTGTGACCGCCGTGTTGTACGAGCAGAACCTCCTCCCTGAAGTTTTGCACATTACCTCATGAATAATGCAACTTTTTTGTAAAGGTTTTCGGAATATCAATGGAGTTAAATTGAGTTTTTCACATGTTTTTTTGTCATTTCAGAACGGAGTCGGTCGCGGAGAAGATGCTCACCAACTGGTTTGCCTTCCTCCTGCACAAATTCCTCAAGGTGAGTACACCGAGCAACATGAAGTGTGTGTGAGGCATACATATCTTGTGGTTTTGATCATACGTTATCAGATGTTTACAGAATGTTTCACCTTGTGATACTATTGTGTTGACGCTGTGATGTTCTCTCGTGTGTGTGTGTCTGTGTGTGTGTGTGTGTGCGTGTGCGTGTGTGTGTGTGTTCTCAGGAGTGTGCAGGGGAGCCTCTCTTCATGTTGTACTGCGCCATAAAGCAGCAGATGGAGAAAGGTCCGATCGACGCCATCACAGGAGAGGCTCGCTACTCTCTGAGTGAAGACAAGCTGATCAGACAGCAGATCGAGTACAAGACACTGGTACGACACACACACACACACACACACACACACACACACACACACACACACACACACACACACACACACACACACACACACACACACACACACACACACACACACACACACACACACAGGACTAGACCCAACACAGACTCTGCAGTGTACAGGAAGCCTAGGGATTTGCCTGTGCTAAATACATAAATAAATAAATACAATTAAAAAATATAATAAAACATTTTAAAAACTTGCCAGACCTAAACCATAAAAAATCACAAGATGCCAAACACAGTTTTTATATTTACTTTTTTTTTTACCACAAATGATTTTCAAGATAACAAAGCAGTGTGTGCTGTGTCTCCTGATTGAGAGGACAATTAACTAATGATCCCACTGACTCAGTGTTGTGCCAACATCACACACGCATACACACACACACACACACACACACACACACACACACACACACACACACACACACACACACACACACACACACACACACACACACACACACACACACACACACACACACACACTCCTGCAGCCAGCGTGTGACAGGACAGCGCTGTGATTGGCTGGTTCTCCGGCAGGGCTGCAGATTGCTTCCTGCAGAACGTGTGAAATGAGGTTTCGGGAGCCAAAGAGGAAATGGTTTCTGGAGCTGCTGCTGCTGCGCTGTGTGACGCTCTGATGAGCCACCAGAGTCTTCCTCTGCTCTTCATCTCACTTACTGTGCCTCTGTCCCATTTGAAAAGTCCCAGTCAATTTCAGGAGTTTTTTGCTTCAGTTTTACAACATTTTATATTTCTTACATTTTTAAAGCTCTCCTATCATGCAAAATGCACTTTTCGATGTATTTTACACATAAATGTGTCCCCGGTGTGTCAGGGAAAGTGTCAGAAAACAAAACCCTCTCTCTTTTCCTCCGTACCCACATCTCTAAAAAACGCTGGAACAACGGAGCTGATCCAGATTTGCGTCCGATATGACGTAATATCTGAAATGTAGGCTGGCTTTAAACCCACGACCCAATCAGAGATGTTGCTATCAGAAACAATGCCCGACTGTTTTGGACGGAATATAGTCTTTGTTTACATTAGCATCGCTAACACTCAGAGCTAACCTGTACTGCAGAGAGTATGTGTAAAGAAGCAGGAAATAAAAAGGAACTCACCTTGTGGTAAACCTGAGAGAGAAAAAGAGTTTGAGCTCCATACTGTTTCAGAGATAATCCTCCAATGTAAGTTCCTGGAGCCTCATAGAGAAGGTTATTCTTTCTATTACAAAGATGTCATGAATGTTATCGTACCAATCATCTATAGATGGGCTTATGATCTTTCTGTCTTCTTCAGATCCTGAACTGCGTGAACCCGGACAACGAGAACAGTCCGGAGACCCCGGTGAAGGTGCTGAACTGTGACACCATCACTCAGGTGAAGGAGAAGATCCTGGACGCCGTGTACAAGAACATGCCGTACTCCCAGAGACCCAGAGCTGTGGACATGGACCTGGGTACGACACACACACACACACACACACACACACACACACACACACACACACACACACACACACACACACACACACACACACACACACACACACACACACACACACACAACCACACGAGAGAACATCACATTTCCTGGTCTTCTCTAAAGAAGAGGGACCAATGAAAACGTTGTCATGTTGCCGTTGTTCAGCATGGAAACATTCATTAGCTAACAATGACATTATTGTTCTATTAATATAAAGGGAGGTCAGGTACTCTTTAAAACAGCTGCTAGTTATGGGTACTTTTTACTGAAGTACATTTCAAAGCCCTCTTTACTTTGACTTGAATAAAGAAGTTTAGTCAGTACTTCTACTTTCACCAGAGTATATTTAAACACAAGTATCTGTACTTCTACTTGAGTAAAGTATGTGTGTACTACCATGTCTGATATTCAAACACATTTCCTTCTTCTACATGCAAGATCATGTCTCAATCATTGAAATGTGTAAAATGACCTAAAGCACTCGTGATTATTTTGAAGATGAAATATGCATTCTGCAGCCGGGGTTTCATGTGACGAAATCAATGATCCGTCCTCTCCCCGTCAGCTCCTTTATTATCATTTCATTACAACACCCCCCCCCCCCTCCACCTGTTCCCCCTGCTCTTATCCTATCCTCTGATTTTCTCCGACATCGTTTATTTCCGTCCGCTCCTCTTCTCTCTGACCCTGACGTATGCTAATGGCGCCGTTTCCACGACACAAGTACCAATTAAATCTCTCAGCCTGTCTGCGTGTACATGTGCAGACGGCTCGTGTGTAATGTTTAATTAAGATGCGTGCCACTCCAAGTGTGTGTGCACGACTACTACTACTACTGCAGGAACAATAGAAATACTCAGGTCTGAAAATACTCTCAAGTCCTGAAATCAAGCTAAATATCCTCAAAAAATCTGAATAAAGTAAATTTGAATAATGGCTATTTTTTACAGTATTTAACATTATAGAATATTATTATCATGTTTTTCTAACAGATACATGGAAAATGAGGTTTTAGAGAGAAAGTTAGTGTTGTGTTTTGTAAGGTAATTGAATAAAGCAGACACACACACACACACACACACACACACACACACACACACACACACACACACACACACACACACACACACACACACACACACACACACACACACACACACACACACACACACACACACCGCAGCATTACCCACGTCTCCATTGAAAGCAGATTTGAACACATGTTTAACACATGTCAGCAAACCGCTACAGAAACCGCGACAAATCACTGTGTGTGACTCACTACGATGTGAAGTTTGCAAAGGTAGTTGTGTGTAATTAATCGTGTGTGTGTGTGTGTGTGTGTGTGTGTGCAGAGTGGCGGCAGGGGCGAATGGCTCGTGTTGTGCTGCAGGATGAAGACATCACCACCAAGATAGAGAACGACTGGAAGAGACTCAACGCTCTCATGCACTACCAGGTAAACACACAACATCAAAACGCCACGAAAAAAATAAACACTTGTCCTGTCTTTGTTATATACCTAGGGCTTTTATTGTGAAAGGGTGAGGAAGATCGAGTGGTAGTAGACTTCTCATAATATCACATTGAATAAATATATCTAAAGCATTCCTGATGGAAAACACCAGAACAAATATATGTACGCAGCTACTGTAACAACAGCGCTAGTTTTTACAGTCTGTGAGTGTGGAACTTTTCTTTAATTTACCCTCAAACTTCTCCTGGGTTTTTTTATCAAGAAAAAACTCATTTGAGTTGAGTTTCTGCCGGAGCTTTTTATTATGGAAATTGCGCCGACAAACTTTGATGTTCGGCGCTCTTGACTTTTAGCTCCTCATTTGCATGTCCTTGCTGCTGTAATCCAGGTGACAGAAGAGAGGACAATTACTGTACAGGTGGCAGGAGACATGAGACACACACACACACACACACACACACACACACACACACACACACACACACACACACACACACACACACACACACACACACACACACACACACTCACACTCCTCCCCCGCATCCCCCCCTCGAGAGATGGGAGGACAGCATCTCTTACCCTCTGTCTCTCTTGACTTTCAAGTTTCAAGTTTCAAGGCTTTGTTGTCATTAGCGCAGCAGCTACGGTGTAGATATGGCAATGAAAAACGTAAGTCCTCCTCCAACAGTGCAACATTTCTGTATTTGTTTATTCCACACATGGCAGTTATTTAAAAAAAAAAACGTGTACACTTTACAGAACATGTACCCTTAGGCCCCGTCCACACGGAGACGAAAACGAACCGAATTCGATTTTAAAAAAGTCTTCCGTCCACACGGAATCGGCTCAAGAAACGTGTCCGTTCACACGAGACCGCTCGATTCGCTGGAGACGCTGTAATACATATGCCGGGCCTGTAAGTGGCGCTGTACTTCCGCCACAAAATACACCAAAAGCAGCGAATAAGACCGATGACGATTATTATTATTATTATTATATTATATTATATTATTATTGTTGCTGATGGTTGTGCTATGGAGGAGCTGTAGATGTTTGCACTAATCCTGGTCAGTAGCGTCTGGAGCACGAACGCAACCCGGTGATCCACTATTGTTGTTGTTGTTGGCGAAACGCATCAGCAATGATGCGGGGGTGAGCAGGAGAGGTGGGGAGAGGCGGGGCTATGGCGTCATCATAGAGCAGGGGTGTCAAACTCAATTTCATCGCGGGCCACATTACCATTATGGTTGCACTCAAAGGGCCAGTTGTAACTATATAAATATACATATATAAATATGTAATATATCTATAAAATAATGTATTATATTACACTATTGCCTCTGAATTGGATTATTATCGGATCGGATAATAACTTAGTAATTAACTATCAACTACGTCTGAAAGCAGAAGTCCAGGGCAAATAACTGCAAGTCTCCTCAGTGTGCATGTCACAAAACGAGATGCATTGTGGGACATGAGGTTTATGGGCAACCTGCTTCTGTAAAGTGGCATGTAACCGTATAATAAACGTATTATATTCTTTGCAAGCTCTTGTGGGGCCACATAAAATGAAGTCGCGGGCCGGATTTGGCCCCCGGGCCTTGAGTTTGACACCCCTGGTATAGAGCGTACACACGGTGCCGCAAGCGTTTCGTCCTCAGACCTACCCACTTTGGGAGCCGTTATCAACGTGTATCGGATTCGGGCTCCGAATCCGCGTTTCCGTTTCGGCCTCGTGTGGACGAACCGTCTATACGATAAAGAACTTTAGCGGATTCAACTGATACCGTCTCCGTGTGGACGGGGCCTTATACTCAGGGGTGCACACAACTTTCTCAGTGAGGTCCTCAGATGAGTACCTGGAGTCATTGTTTGGTACTCCAACTTCTGACCATTGTTAACGGGGGGGGGGGGGGGGGGCGTCAGTGGAGTACAGCGCTTCACGATTGTTAACGGGGGGGGGGGGGTGGCGTCAGCGGAGTACACCGCTTCGCGATTGTCAACGGGGGGGGTGGCGTCAGTAGAGTACAGAGCTTCGTGACCGCGGCGCGTGTGAACGTTGTGATCAGCTGTTTTAGCGCAGGGCTGCTGTACAGACCGACGTTAACAGCAGCCCTGTCTGTGCACACGGAGACCGACTCTGTCGTCCGGTGAACTAACCGCCTTCTGGAAAAGCTTCACATTTACGTCGGTACGCAAATGCGCTTTGTGACACAAGTGACGGTACGCATTTCAGATTGTTGCCGCGCATGCGTACCTGCGTACCAGTTATGTGCACCCCTGCTTATACTGGTTGTTTTCTTGTTTTGTTTTTAAAAAAAGAAGGAAATAACCATAAAAAAGTCAAATAAAAGCAATATTCTTTCAGTCGCAGTTGCTTACAATTACTGAAACATAAAACCAGAACACAATCACAAGTCAACATGAATATATATAGGACATAGAACAGATAAAACAGATAGAATAGTGCAAGAGAATGTTTTGAGATGTGCAAGTAAATACAAATACAATTGAAATAGTGCAAGAAGAGTCTTTATACAAGTAAATGGAATATGATATATTAAATAAATAATTAGCTAAATGAATGTTTATGGATGTTCTTTAAATAGTTCAGGTGTTTAATAGTCTTATGGCCTGTGGGATGAAACTGTCCCTGAGTCTGGTGGAAATAAACGGCATTACAACAAGAAGAGTAGAGAGCAGATTAAGTAGAAAGAGTACATATTATATATAAAGTATGCACATGTTTTGCATAATGACATTAAGTCAAAACAAATAACAGAGAAGTACATCATGGTGAAAGAAACTCAATAGCAGTATTTATATAAGAAAAATAACTAACTAACTGAAAATTGGCCCGTCAAGAGTGTTTTATTGTCAGAGTTTATAGATTGTTTTATCTTCACGGTCTACTGTTTCTACTTTAATGCTGTTTTAATTCTAGTATTGTTCATTTCTACTTATCAGCAATTCCTTGTTTTGTTTTTTTATGCTGCTGCAACGCAAACATTTCCCAATTTGGGATCAATAAAGTGCATCATAACTTATCTTAGGAAGTGTGAATTGCACGGGGGTATTTGGCACATGCATGTATATTGCATCAGAGATATTACAGTCTATTTCAGCGGTTCCCAACCTGTGGGCCGTGGCCCCCTAGTGGTCCGCGAAGGCAAGGTGGGCCACCAAATAATTAGCAAAACATTAGGATTCGTGTGGAAACATTTCATTATTACGATTATTATTTTATTGAACCTCTTTTCCTTTCTCTTTCTTGATCCTCCTTAGCAACGGTCATTACAGTCCTTAGCAACGGTCATTACAGTCCTTAGCAACGGTCATTACAGTCCTTAGCAACGGTCATTCCAGTCCTTGACAGCGGTCTGTTCTACTGGAATAACAACGTGTCAAATGTTCTGAATTGACCAATCGGAATCGAGTATTCAACTAAACCGTGTGATCAAAATGTCTGTTTGTTACTGATGGCCAGCTCCTTTTCTAATTAAAATAAAAAGTACTTTATTTAGCCTCCGTATTGTTTAGGGTTGAACGTGGGCCGCGAACATTTTTTAGATTCTTAAGTGAGCCCTGAGTTGAAAAAGGTTGGGAACCGCTGGTCTATTTAGTATAAGTCTGTTTCTTCACATCCTCCTGCTATTCTGGGCCCTGCTGTTCAACAGAGAGGAAGCTAAAGAGGGCTTCTGCAGGATTTATGTCTGTTGAACATAAAAAAAGGCCGAGCAGGCGGGAGATAATAAAGAGGGATAAAGGAAACGGGCAGAATCAGAGGGCCGTCCTCTCAGCAGGTCGTGAATCTTCAGCAGCCAGAAGTCATTACTCAGCCAACATCTGCTTCAAAACGCACCGCGATCACTTCTAAGATGCCCGGTCTGCAGCTCTTTATTCAGGGAGGGGGTTTGACCCTCATGCTGGGGGTGGGTCTGAACTCATGCCCCTGCAGAGTGAGCAGAACCACCACCAGATGTACGAGTCATTAGAAGAAGGGACCGTCTTTAGTGTCCTTCACCCAGGACCTGGCCCCCCCGCAGCTTCTCTCCTCCCCGTCTGTCCTTTCCTTCATTTCATTTAGCGGACGCTTTCAGAGAGACTTACAATAAGTGCATTCAAGCACGAAGAGACGTGGCTTTTGCAGAACATGTACACGCACAAACAACTATAGAACACACTCAAAAAGCAGAATAGGGCCTCTTTAAAGTGTGCAGGAGGCTGTGCAGGATCTTCTTCTTCTCTCTCAGATGTTCTCCTGGTTTCACAACACACGTTAACCCTCATCATCATCAACATGCAGCTTGATGTCCACTCGCGATGATTCAGACATTCTGTCCAGATCATTTCAGGCTTCTTCACTTCCTGTTTGCATGGTTTTCTTTTCCTCCTTGCCCACTGCACACTTCACTTCCTCCTTCCTCCCTCCTTCACTGCCTCGTCTCTGCTTTAATCCTGGATGAAGCTCTGCAGGGTTTCCCTCCTCTCCATCATACAGTCCGTCTGCCATCGTTATCCAGAGGAGACGCTACAGGCCGCACGGAGACGCTCGTGTGGACGCTTGTTCGCTCGATAGCAGACCTGAGGACCGCCATTGATCAGGATCTGAGGGGAAGGAGAGAGGAAGAGGAGAGGAAGAGGAGGAGGAGAGATTAGAGCAGGATGTGACACACACACACTTGTGCATCGTTACCGTTTTGATGAGCTGGCAGTGTGTGTGTGTGTGTGTGTGTGTGTGTGTGTGTGTGTGTGTGTGTGTGTGTGTGTGTGTGTGTGTGTGTGTGTGTGTGTGTGTGTGTGTGTGTGTGTGTGTGTGTGTGTGTGTGTGTGTGTGTGTGTGTGTGTGTGTGTGTGTGTGTGTGTGTGTGTGTGTGTGTGTGTGTGTGTGTGTGTGTGTGTGTTGGGGCTTTGCATTGGCAACTGCGACTGCACATCTGGCTGCTCATTAAGACCCAGAGTGAGGGAGAAGTGTGCAG